ACACACACACACACACATTTGGTACACGTGCATGGAAGCTGGATGCTTTCCTGGAGAGAAATTTGGGGGTTCCCTAACAGAGCACCAACTAAACCTCACTTCTGACACAAAACAAAGCTACAGTCAATGTGTTACACCACGAGTTAACAACTGAGACTGTTCTGTTACTGCCCATCAACAGGAAGAGAAGACAGACATGTCTTTGTCTCACACAAATTTATATCACCCGAGATAAATCAGTCATTTTACATTTGTATTGCACTTTATTTTCACTTACTTTTTCTCAGGAGAGCCATTTTTCATGTTTGCTTCCAGTGACATCTGCAAACACACACACACAGACAGAGAAAGAGAGAGCTATTAAGTCACTCAAGAAGTTCACTTGTAGAGTAACAAAAGATGAAATATTGCTTGGCTTTAATAATGATGTATTGAAGGATTTGGCCCTTCCCTCTGTGGAATATTAACACTGAAACCTGGCAACACAGCTGGAAGTGACTTGAAAAGCCTCTGATGTTTAGAAAGATGCCTCATATGTTTTTGCACAAATGTTGAGGTAAGGATTTGTAAAAGAAAAACTTCCAAAATCAGGTTTCTCCTGCAGAGATCTAACTGTGACAGCCAATAATGCCATTACAGCAGATGTCTGAAATAATCAGATGACTCCACTTTACGGTTTTGCTTGCAAAAATGTGCATAAAAGCCAAAGAAATTAGAAAACTTATTCGAGTCAGACACGTAAAGACGTACTGTAAACTCAGCCAAACAACGTAGAGCTAAAGCATTTGGGATGCCTGAATGCCTTCATTTCATCATGCCTTAGCTATGGACTTATTGGTGTGAACGAAAGCGGTTCACAAACTGACGTGTTTGGTCATAGAGTCCTCTCTGCACGACTTATCTGGTGGCGACATTTACATGCTTGAACAATTAAACCTTGGTGCAAGATGGTATAACCCACAAAATGTCCGACTTCAACTGTCATGGTTGTTGTGACCTATAAAAATATTAAACCTTGATTCGCGTAGATTTTTCCTGGAATAGAGTTGGTTCTCTGCACATAATACCATAACCATGTTTCAGTGGTTTCAGACAGGGAAAGTTTTCTGTAACAGTAGCACAGTGGGATAGAAGACTATCATTACTGAATGATGCATTCTTGTATTCGCGTTAAAAGAAACTGACACTAAGCTAGCCTCGCATCACATAAGTTATGTTGTAAGCGAGCTATGCAAGTATGTCTAGTATGTAAGCCACAATAATTTACAAACCCATACTGTTCCTTACATATATATTATTCATTCCACATTTATATTATATTTATTATAGTCCGAAGCTGCAAATGCGTGCTTGCAGTATTTTTCTCGAGATACAACTTAATTTTTCATTATCACGAAAACAACTTATCAAACCCTATCACAAGAAAAAAAATGTTTGTTATCTTATTGACATTTCTTTACATTAGTTATAATGTTTAATCCGACGAGATAAATTACTTGTGATCTCAGCATTAAAATAATAATTGCAACCATGGTCGTTCTTGGCTCCTGTAATGTAGTATACATTTATAACATATACATTTTAACACTTTTAACTATTTTAACAGAAGTTTACAGTATATTCATTCTATTCACATACATATTGCACCCCTCACATGTGTGTGTACTACATTTTTTGATGCAAGATTTGTCCAAAACTCAAGATGTGGGGAAACTGTCCACACATTATGGTCCTTGGGTGGATTGATCTGAAAGAGACTTATTGAGGTGGGGGGTTGCTGGATTGCCCCAAAAGCTGTACACAGAAATGTAACAGAAAAATCAGTGACATTTTAATTTAAATGCACACATAGAAACACACTCTGTGACCTATACTTTACATATACTGCTGTTTGTGATAAACTGCCAATGTGACCTGACCAGCAGTAGACTCACTAAGGCCTGAAGCCCTGAGTCACTGGACGACACATGTGCCTGCATTTTGTCCAAAACCTTCCACCACTCCCTTCCTTCCTGGTGCCAGGGCTTCATCAAAGAATCTATTTGCCTCCCAGCCATTAAAACATTTATATGACTCAACTGTTTCACAGCTTCTCACACTTTAAGATGCTCATCAGCTCACGTGTCACACCTAATCTCAGAGTCCAGCTAAACTCCAGCAGGCGGCTGAAGTGAAACAGGACATGCATTTGTTTCAGGTTTGTTTGTTGCTGTTTAGAGCAGCCCGAACCATCTGGAGCTGATTAGCTATGGATACACTCCTTCCAGAAGGCAGAACAGCCCAACACAATGCTGTCTCTGGTCTGCATTCGAACAATCAGTAATCCACTCAAGACTCTCTGAATTATAGTATTTTCAGCTTACATGTTCTCAATATAAATGCACTGTCTGTGTTTTTGCAGAATTCCTCCTCCAGATATGAACCACCACATGATTTTATGCCACTTGAATGCTTTATTTTTGAAAGTTTGTCAAATAAATGATGCTAAATGTCTGTATGAAAGGTTAGTTCTCTGTCTCTTACTTTAATTTCCTTAAATGGCTTCTTCAGGAAATCAAGGATTAGGCTACATGAGCAGTTTCTGATTCTGTAGAAACTATGTATCAGCTAGAAAACTATCTTTTTCCTCATCAATAGAAGTTCCTTAAAGTTTGCCTGTAACTGTGTGTGTCTCTGTGCAGAGAATGGGGGGTGGGGGTCCAAACCAAACCACATATGTCATCACACTGCAAAAAAACCTGGATGGAGTAGTTAACTTTTCCAGGACTTAAAATTCACACACAAGAGAAAAGGTCTGTAATATTTCACTCATGTGCAATGGGGTTAAATTGTTTTGGAATTTTTTTAGGGAAGAACTGTTAAAGTTTAAGTGAAAATTAGGTAAATCAATTACCTCATGGGCTACAGTATTTAAATAAAATAAAAAACAGAACCCCTTTAAACCTTGACCCTTAATTCCAGAAAGTATTGCACTGCACTGAAATAACATGAAACTGTGTCATGCATCATACATTTGCAGATTTTCCACATGTTTCTCAAGTAAAAAGCTAAAAAGACAAACTATTTTAGATAGAGAGATTTTTTTTAGTGTAGCAGGACAAACAGTTCTCATGTCTAACAATACAACAGGGAGGCATAAACAGCCCAAAATACAAGAAATAGATTTCACAACATACATATACCTGCAAAACTGCATTATCTTAGTGATAATGACATTTAGAAGACACATTTAAAGTAAGGAGGTGTGTCCCTGTTGGTTTGATGTGTAAATGATCAGTCATTTAAATTGTAGCACAGTTTAAAGAACAATGAAAATATCAGAAATATTGGCTACTCACCAGAGAAAGCCAGTGGTGACTATGGTCAGTCTCATTCCTGGTGTTCATGGTCCATGTTGTAAAACCTCTGAGGACTGAGACCCACCCTCACCAACGATCCCACTTTTTCTCCTCTCCCACCTTTTTTTCCCTCCTTCTTCCCTCCAGATGTGACTCATCTTGTTCACCAGCACTGTGTCATTTACCCCGAAACTGGTTTATCCTACCCCATTTCCCTTAATCATAGCAGTGAAACTTTAAAAAAGATTTTATTCTGTTAAAGCAGTGTCTGCTTTGGGTATGTTAGATTAGGCACAGTGTGAGAAAATAATCTACAGTCATACAAATTACACATGGTCAGTGCTCTATTTGAACCAGCAACTAGAATTTATTATATATTTATACTGGGTAAAATTAATATACTGGAGAAATCACCGATTTAAAATAGTTTGGGGGACTTTCAGCGAGCTAAATAGCATGTCGTCTTAAAAACTACATTTCCCATAATGACCATGGCGTCGCTCTCCTGGAATGGACGACTAAAGCTTATCCCCGTTAAAACACCTTATTCCTAAACACAGATTTCTTTGCTTGGATATGTATATGAACAAGTTAGATGTCTTAATAAAATATCCATATATACATACATATGCGTCCTCATTTTAATCTTACAGTGCAACAAACAATGATCATTAAAATGTATTAAGGTTATTACCTGGTTATTACACGTCTTCGTTCAAGATAGAAAGAGTTAATGTACCAATATATTTATGTATTTATTAAGTCTTATTTTTACATGTTAATATTCAAATACTATCATAATTATTATATATTAATGATGATAATAATTGCTTTGTCTGTTCGTGCAGTTTTTGTATCGTTTTGAACGGAACGATAGTAACAGTGTAAGGTCATGGTTGGCCAATGAATTTTTTGCTACTCTGTGAAATAACACCTGGTAAACACTTCTTCCCAGCATGTCTTCTAGCAGCTCAACTTAATATTTAGTCTGTCCCTGGCCGGTGAGTGACTTTATGTCCCTGCAGCAGCCTTTAACCTCCAGCCAACATGGACACAAACACTTTAAAGCTGCTGGTGAAGCTCACTCAGGAGGGACAGTTGAGCTCTCTGGAGGAACTGTTAACATTAGGCGGCTCGGCGGCGGTTCAGACTGTCAGCAGCCAACACTTGGGTCGGTCTGGAGACACCCTGCTGCACTACGCCGCCAGACACGGACACCTGGACGTTGTGGAGTATCTGGTAAAGCGGGTGGGCATGGATGTGGAGGTGTACAACAACGACTACAAGAGGCCGCTGCACGAAGCTGCGTCCATGAGCCACTGGGCTTGTGTGAGCTACCTGCTCCGGGAAGGAGCCGAGGTGGACAGTCTGAAGAAGGCTGACTGGTGAGGATGGTCGTATTAACGTGGTCGAAATTAATCCAAAAATAAGTCCATTAACATGGGGCCTGTGGTTTTAAGAAGGAACTGTGCTCCCGTATAGTTCTATTCCCTTCGATAGCTCAGTTGGTAGAGCGGAGGACTGTAGTGGCATTACGCTGAAATCCTTAGGTCGCTGGTTCGAATCCGGCTCGAAGGAGATATTTTTTGATTTACCAAAGAGATTACAGCGACTAAAAAACGTGTATTTTACGAAATCTTTACGAAAAAACAATCAAGATGAAAAATAAAAAACAAACAGAAATAGCCGGCTTACCATAATCAACCCAGTTTGTGCCTCGTGTTATTACCAGTTTTGGTTGTGGTTCAAATCTGGCTCAAAGGAGCAACATTTTTAATTTATCGAAGAGTTAAACGGGCTACAAGCGTTTTTTGTTTTTTACTAACAACTTGTGAAACTCTTGTTCAAGAGGCCAAAACACACAAAGGCGCGGTACCACGTTGTATGGTTCAATTTGACTCCGAGCTGAGCGTCAGTTTTTGTCAAAGATAAAATCCGCTGCACAATAAAACAACAATATGAACAACAAAATCAACTATAAATATAAACAAATATGACTGTATAAAATAATATTATACGTTTTAATATCAGACACATATCTATGTTAATGTTATTTTCCATTCTTTTGTATTTAGATATGTAATGACAGATTTTCACAGAACAAACAATAACTGTCTCAGAAAATACTGGATTGTACTGTACTACACTATTGTTGTTGTTATTATTAGTTACAATGACCCTTAAAAGAATGAGACAGAAACGTTTCATAATAAATTCACTAAATTGTATGTACTATATATTTTTAAATAACACTAATACAACAGAATTTGTACCATAGAGAAGCAAATGTGCATGGTAAGATAATTAATTTATTCCATGGTATAGCATAAAACCCTAAACTCGATTAGATCTTTATACACAAGGGACAAGGAATCACTTCTTATTAGAGCCAGTGCACTATTTAATTATTTCATCATTTAAAAACTGTGAAGGTTTCAAAATGCTATACACCACGTGAAAGTGAGTGAAACTGACAGTATAGGTTATTGAGTGTCTAATCCAAGTTTAAAGATAAGTTTAGTAATCATTTTTTTCTGATTGGAATGTCTCTTTTATATATTTACTATAAAAAAAACACAGCTGTGTATTAGTTTGTAGTGTGACTGCCAACATCAGTGGAAATCATTGAGTCTTCCCTCTTAGGACTCCCCTGATGATGGCCTGCACTCGGAGGAACCTCGACGTGATCCAAGAGCTGCTGTGCCATGGCGCCGACCCTGCACTGAGAAACAAGGACGGCTGGAACTCCTTCCACATCGCCTGCAGGGAGGGAGACCCTCTGGTTGTACAGCACCTGCTGGTTGTCGCACCGGACGTCTGGAGGACGGACAGCAAGACGCGCAGGACGCCACTGCATACTGCAGGTAAAAGTGTCCTGGGATCCCCAGTTCTATGGACTTCAGGCTGTTTGGTGATGAATGAAAGACAATATCAGGTTTTTCCTGTTATGTGAAGGACCTTTTGAGTTCAGTATCATATTATAATCACTCTAACACTCTCTGTTCTTTATTCAGCAATGCACGGCTGTGAGGAGGTTGTTAGGATCTTGCTGGAGAGGTAGGTTGAAATTTTGCCTGGGTAATGCTGCCCCCAAACAAATGTGGATGGACAAATGTTCAAAAGGTTCCAGTCAGTTCTGGAGGGACACAATATAATATGTGACTTTTTGTGAATGCCCTTCCCTCAAAGAAACGTTGATCGCTGTAACCATGTAGGCCTACTTACTTTATGTCAGCACATCTGATATTTAATTATGATTTAATGACAAACATGTGCCAATAATAACCCACATTTTACACATGATCCATAATGATAAAGAGAAAATGGCAAAAATAGCACATTGTCAGTATTTTAGTATTAGTATTAGTATTAGTATTAGTATTGGTATTAATTTTGGTATTGTCAGAGACCCCCCCAAAATTGCACAGATCATGTTTTTAAGGGAGCTCATGTCTTATTAAGAGGAGCCCAACTCCCCCTGTGCTTCACAAGATTTTCTTTTGTCAAAGTACTATTTTCAAGGTCAGTAATCAACCTTTAATGCCATAATCTGCACCATATACATAGGATAATTGCCATGGTTACAGTCCTGTTTGTAGACTGCAGAAAATTGCTTACATCTATTACGACATATTTAAATAGTCTGCTTGGAATAATGTCTGACGTGTTTTTTTCTGCAAAACAAAATATAATTTCCAAATTAAAAACCTTAAAAGGTCCACATTAAAAATTCCAGAATCTGTGAAGATGCTAATTTTGTTCATTTCTAAAGATTTCCTGCTGGACACAAGATAAATGTATGTCTGTACTCTTTAGTTTGATGATGATTTACAGCTCACAGATAACCGACTTTTCTTCCAGATGTGGCTACACCCCAGATAGCACTGACAGCTGTGGAGTCACTCCCTTCATGGATGCCATCAGGAACGGACACATTTCTGTAGCCAGGCTGCTGTTAGAGAAGCACCAGGTAGAGTAATGTTTCAGCTCCTATGTAGAAACTGAGAGATGTACTGTATGTGTACTGTCACCACCTAACTTGCATGCACTGCAGGCGTCTCCAACAGCAGCCGACATAATCGGGGCTCATCCGGTGCACCAGGTCGCCGTCACCGGCCAGGAGGAGGCGCTACGGTTCTTGGTGCGTGACCTAAATGTAGACGTGAACCAGAGGGCGACTGACATCCAGCTCACTGCCCTGCATTACACTGCAAAGGTCAGATCAGTGATTCCTCACTCTCTATCCTTACACCCTCAACTCAGAGGGAGAAAGACAGACATGCTAAAGGGTAGACAGCGGTGGCAGTAGAAAAAATACAATATGTAAATATTTACAAACCTACTAACACACCTGGAAAATTACTGTGTGCAAATAAACATCCTCTTCCTCATTTCAATTCCATGTTTTTCAGGAAGGCCACACGTCCACTATAAAGACACTGTTGGAGTTGGGGGCAGATCTTCATGTCCGGGACAAAAGGGGAAGAACTGGTAAGCACACTTCATCTGAAGTATATTAGTATTAATATAATATTATGATAATTTATGAGTATATTAGTACATCAAACAACATGAAGGCCACAGGACAAAATGTATCAGTCTAACAGGTATGTTTTGTATAAGAAATATATATACTATGAAAGACAACCAATACAAGACTTTTTCCCTTCTGTGCCAAAAACCTCTGCTCTACCTCTAAACTACAGCTGCAGTGTGGAGCTTGTATTTAACAAACTCAAAGGCGGTTGGTGGTTTCTATGGCGACCCTTAAGGGATAATGGGGAGGACAAAAAAAATATATATAAATACTTTTGCAACCACCCAGCTGTCATCACATTTTGACTCAAATGTTTTCCTGATTGGTGCTCTGATGCACGCGACATCATTTTTCCAGCTGAACCACACATAGCAACACAGGCAGAGTGTCATCATCATTCTCTACTCAGGACTCCACTTTACACAGCTACTAGTTGTTAAATCTCATATATAACCTTTAAAGTATGATTTTTCAATGGGCTAAAACAGGCAAAAACACCAGTACAGTGCCTTACCAGCACTTATTTTCTCTCCTCCCCCAGCTCTTCATATGGCCTGCATCGGGCAGCATGCAGACGCAGCCAGGACGCTCCTGCAGCTCGGACTCAAGGACTCAGAGGACGCATCTGGCACAACAGCACGGCAGCTCGCCAAGAAACCAGACGTAGTGCGAGTGTTTGAATGTGGCTTACCACACCCATCGTAGTGACTTCATAGACTGAAGTCGGTTTAGGTTGTGTAGATCACAATAAAGCTTTATTTGTATTGTTTTGTGTTGCGTATTCTTGAGTGAAGAATCTTGTGTCTTTCCACAGACACCCAGTACTGCAAATATATAAATATTGCAATACTCCATTAGTGGGCCACAGGCTCAGTCACCATTGTGTTACCTAATGTGGCGATAAATAGTGATTTTAACAGATATTTATTTCAATGAGTATCTTTGAGATTGCCACTCTCTTGCCATAGACTGATGCTACTGACTTGAGGCTTGCCTTGAACTGCAATAACTTGAAAAGTTCGGAACTTATGGAGGCCATAATGGTGTTAGTACTAAAGGCCAGCCGCTCTGCTGCATGGGAATGAGAACCTTGTTTGGAGAATGCTACGCACTGAGGTTTAGACATGATTGGACGCGCCAAAGATACGCTCCCCTGACTGTGTAGGATTTTGTCTGATCGTGTTTGGATATCATCAAACTGCTTCTGCAGTTGCTGGGATGTCAGATACAAAACAAAACATCAGCTCTGACAATCCTATAGTCTTGTTGGCTGGCTGGTGTGTAGTACTTAATATGAAGGTACTGTTACTGTACTGTAAAAACTGGTGTATGCATGTAAATGTGTATGAAATAAATACATTGAATGTATGAATTATATGAATAATGTCACGATGCTTTTTTAAAAATATATTTCTTTTATTTTAGGTTTTAAGCTTAGTTTTTAAAATGCCTGAAACACACAAATTCTTATTACTAATTACTGCCTATAGCCAGTCCTATACTGACTGACAAGGGACAGTATATACATACATATAGTGGCTCACTTCATAAATGTCACTGGGTTTGCTAAACAGGCGTGTCGACCATGAATCTAGTCTGCTCTTGTTACACAAATAGTCAGGTGAAACGGGAGCGTACCTATGTTCTCCGGGTCCTGTGTTCCCCGCTTTGTATGGGACCGGGGAACCCTAACCCT